CTATTACTGAACTAAAGCTATATTGTTTGTAGATTTTTATTAGAAATACATCACAATCAGGACTGTTGGCTTTCAAACAGTGAAAATGTTCAGGTTTGCATTGTTTTTTACCTACTTTGCACTCACAATTATATTTTTGAACATGACTTTGAAAATCTAATTTTCAGTCAATATTGTCATTACAGATATGAATGAAAAGGGAAGGAATGGAAACCAAACACATGATGACATGGGAATGACGGACAGTGCACATTGACAGGAAAAAAATCTACTTCAGTAAGTAAACATATGTACACTAAAATTGTTTTCTTGTTTTGTTAGTTTCATGACATTTGATTCATAGAGTGATTAATTTGTTATTCGTTCATTTTATTACTGTCTTAATATACATTTGTAGAAGAAAGACATATAATGTGATATTAATGTGGATAGAGAAGAATGTCAATATGACTAAGGTTTGTGGAGCGATGCAAAAACAGGAAAAATATGAATAATAGTTTCAAGAAATAAAAGCAAGTGGAACTTGTCATCAACATTCATAATTTTGCGGGTCATCATTCAGAGAAGCTGGCTATTTCGTACATTTTAAAATTTAAAAAGGAAAACAATAGTCCAGGAATTTAGTTCAAACCCAAGTTATATTAGTGTTTAGACTTTCTTCAGACAGAATACAATGCCATATAATTCAACTCTGAAATGCATTACTTTATACATTTTTTGAACATAAATATCTTTAGTAAAAATAACCAACATAGCTTGTTTAAGAAGGCGTGATCTTTATTCAGGCTATACTGTGTTTTAAAGAACAATATGAAATGTTGCATTCCATCATGTTCACCATCACTGAGATTTGAGTTATGAGAATAAGGAGTTGCTGCTACAGACTATAGTTCAAAAGCTCTGTCAAAATCAGAACAGGTATCTCATTAAACAATTATCTACTTCCTGGAACATGGAAGAAGCCTGGCTTTTCACAAAACCAGTTCAAAATGTAGAGTTGAAAAGCAAATACATTTGTAGTCAACCATGAAGTTACTATTTTTAATGACACCTATGAGCAATGAGACAGTGATATGAGTTATTAATTAATCTCCAACAAAGGCCAAATTCTCCAGAAGAACCCCAGCCAGCCACAAACATTTTTATAAATTGCAACACCATAGAGAACCAGTCTTTATGGCCTTGTATACAGAGACATGCTAATTATAGTAAAGTAACAAGGTTATTGTTTGCAGGAAAACCTTATTTCACTGTCTACTCCATGTGTAGCCTGTGGCAAATCCAGCCTTCTCAAAGATAGGAAACAGTCAGCAGGTATAACGGAGGAAAAAGAAGTAATTCAATCGCTGTGTTTACGGTTAAGGACTAAGAAATACTTGTAGTGCAGGGTGCATCAACGTGTCAAGTTTCACTTTACTGGCATACAGATAAGAGACTTGTTATGCAGAGTTGCCTTTATGGGGACATAGGGAACAGTTTTATCTGTATTTCAAAGGTTTCTCTTTAATTACAGATTGGAGGCTGCATCTCCCTAACCTGTCCATGATATCTTCTTCTATAGTTGTTGATTGTACCTTGTTTCTTTCTTTTTAACCTTTTTAAAAATCTCTTTTGATACATTGTTAATTTCCTTTCTGAATTTATGCATTTGCATTATTTTCTTTCTGTGTTGCTCTTTTTCTGTTAGTATTAAAGAAAATAAAAAATATTAATAAAAGTAACTATTGAAATTAAAAATAAAGCTGAGAAAACCAAGGGAGGGGAAAAATTATGGAGAAAATGTTAAAATAGTAATAAGATGTGGAACAGAACACGAAGATGAATATGAAATTGAGTTTGTGTCTGTATGGAGAAGTAATAACCTGGGATCATGCTATTCTCAAAAAAAGATATTTTATTTGTATTATGTTTTTGTGAAAACCCAAATAAAATTTATATTAAAAAAGTAACTATTGAAATTATGCTAAAACATTCTAAATGTAGCCTTAAAATTGCACCATAGCAAACCTCGATCTGGATAGATGCCTTTTTTAAAAAATGGGCTGCTCGATTTTTTTAAAAAATTGAGCTTTGCAATATCTGTATATGTTACGTGGAAAAAATTGGAGAAAATAAAATTTACAGGCATGTTCTTATCATCTGTTTTTGTGCAAATTATGAATGAAACCACTACTCCAAAGTTACAATTCCTCTTTTGGGGGATGTCATTGTGCTGGTGTTTGATAAAATGGCACACTTTAAGAACAAATTGTGAACAATGTAATATGTCAACAACAATTACCTTCTAATAATGCCTGAAAAATGTAGCATGTTAAAAAGATTGTATTCCTGCCTGCTGTTCCAAGGTGAAGCAAAGGAATGCAGAGACATCCAGCCCAGTGGTGGGATTCAATTTTTTTAACTACCGGTTCTGTGGGCGTGGCTTGGTAGGCATGGCAGGGGAAGGATACTGTAAAATCTCCAGTCAGAGGGGGGATTTGCTGGTTCTCCCAGCTACTCAAAATTTCTGCTACTGGTTCTCCAGAACTGGTCAGAACCTGTTGAATACCACCTCTGATTCAGCCCCTGGAGATGGGGACTGTTACCCAAACAATTTGTTAGCACCTAATTGGATGCTATTTGATAACCAAGGGGGTGGATGGGAACAAGGGAAGTTAACCATATGTTTTGGGTGCAAAAATCTCAGATCCAGCTTTGCTTCTTCTGTAAAGTATATGTTTGGCTAACCATGGGCCTGAGAGTCTTTTTTTTCCAACTGACCAAGTTGGAACATATATAGTGAACACTTCTGGATTTACAGTTGGTTTTCCTTAATGGTACTCATTCCAGGCAAGGAATGTATCACTTTAATGCAATGATGTATAATCATTGTTAGAACAAAATGTTACTTCTCTCTGCCCACTTTTGTCCAACCATAGGAAATCTGCAAATCAATGATGTCACTTTTTGATTTTGCAAAAGATTGGCTTGAAGGCAACCTCCAAACATAAACTGAAAGATTTTTGTCTAAGGAATGCAAATAATACGTTGTTCGGAAATATTCTATTCTTGAATTAATTCTATCCACAGGAATGCTGGACTAATGGTGGCTCATGACTGAAGGAAATGCCACATTTCACATTGTAAAATCTGTTGAAAGCTACCAGCAAGAATATCAACAAAGGTGAATATGATTACTTTGCAAGTTCATGTGAAAGACAAACCTTAATATTAATTAGTGTGAGCTTTCTTCAATAAATCCACCTCTTTTATGACCAGGTTGAGTGAATATTCTTAACAGGTGATGGTTGGATTTATGAAATTGCCATTTTCTATAAGGGGAGGCCAGATTCTGAAGATGAAACTCAAATATGTTGGCCACCTAATGGGAAGGAAGGACTCACTGGAGAAGAGCCTAATGCTGGGAACAATTGAGGGCAATAGAAGAAGGGGATGACAGAGAATGAGGTGGCTGGATGGAGTCACTGAAGCAATCAGCATGAGCTTAAATGGACTCCAGAAGGTGGTATAGGACAGAAAGGCCTGGAGAAATGTTGTCCATGGGATTGTGATGGTTTGGACATGACTTCGCGACTAACAACAACATAAGGGAAGCAGAACCACTGGCCTCTCTCCTTATTTGGAAATAACAAGGAGTGAATGTTGGACCTCAGAGCTCTATTCTTCACTTTCATTTTCATTTAGCAAAGCAAACATTTATAATATTTATTGTTTCTTTACAGCTACATAATGACAGATAAAGATATGGATCTAGCAAGAAAAGAAGGACTAGGGAGATTTGATAGCAGTGCTCTAGTATTTGAGAAGCAACTGGGAACTAAAGAGAAATTTCCTAAAGGTGAGAACAATCAACCACTGGAATGGCTTGCCTTCAGAAATTGAAGGTACCCCATCGCTGGAGGCTTTCAAGAAGAGACTGGACAGCCATTTTTCTGAAATAGTGTAAGGTCTCCTGCTTGAGCAGGGATTGGACTAGAAAACCTCCAAGATCCCTTCCAACGCTGTTATTCTATGTTATAAGTGTAAGATTAGGTCTTGAGCAGGGACTAGGATGCTTGTGGGCTCAAAAGCAAAGTGGAGTCAGGACTGCATCAGAGATGAGTCAGAGTTTGCTCTATTATTAGGCAGATGGATGGAATGCATTATGTGGGAAACTGGAAAGGATGACAGAATTGTACCAAACCCAACTCCTTTCCTCCTTTACTAATTATCCAGTTGTTCCAATGCCTCAAAGAACCATCCTATACTACTGCTTTATCTTGTTCGATCACGGGAAAAGAGACTTGAGACCAGGGTGACTGTTCAGCTCTTTATTTCAGTATACAGATCTGTGCTGGACTTGCGAGCCGCGGCAGCCCTTCATATAGGGATTGCCGGCGGCTCGCAACCAATGATGGCTCTTTGAATCTCCCGCGATTGGCGCGGCCAATCGCAGTTGATTCATTACGAGCCAATCACTGCTGTTCTTTCCACCAATCACAGAGTAGTTCATTTGGGCCAATCAGGTGAGGGTATTCCAAGAATGCTAATATGGAACAATCTTAAGGAGTTTATGGAGTCAGGTTTTGAGGCCAGCATATGTGTCATCCAACCCTTCTCTTTTTTTCTTGCCCAACAGAAGGAAAATTGCTCATCTGGAGCATGAGAAAGTTCTTTGCTCCACTTCTGAGAATCCACTCAGAAGAGAATAGCAGTAACAAGAGTGAGCTGAGAGAGGGCAAGGACCAAGTACAGCATATGGCAGTCTTCTCAATACAGTTGTTAAGTCTTGGGGGCCACCATGCACTGTCTGTTTACACAGGCCAGGCTTGTAGGGTTCCTGGTATGTTCCAGAGGTGGTATTCAGCAGGTTCTGACCAGTTCTGGAGACCCAGTAGCGGAAATTTTGAGTAGTTTGGAGAACCGGCAAATACCACCTCTGACTGGCCCTGCCCCCATCTATTCTCTGCTTCCTTTTTTTAAAATAAAGTTTTATTTGGGTTTTCACACATACAAAATACAAATAAAACATCTTTTTTGAAAATAGCATGGTCCCGCGTTGAACTTCTTTATACAGACACAAAACTCAATTTCATGCTCCTTTTGTATTCTATTCCATATCTTATACTATTTTACATTTTCTATATGGTTTTTCCCCTCTTTTAATTTTTTCAATTTTATTTTGATTATCTCATCTCAATTCAAATCATTATATTAATACTTTTGTCTGTTCTGTTTCCATTTCATATTATCTTTTCTCATTAAACAATTTTTCTCCTCTAGTTACTAATTGGAGTATGACACCTTTATATCTTTTAATTACATCCATTCAACTCTTATTTAAACTTCAATATATACCTTAAGTTTATGACCTTCAATATAATACATAATACATAATACATAACTTCCAATCGAAATCTGCTTGGTACATTCTTAGAATACACACTATATTCTTTTTTTAAAAAAAGATTGTAAATATATGTAATTATAAACCCTCATTCCATTCCAGTTCAGTTCTATCATTAATAATCATTAAAATCTTAACATCTTTAACACTTCTTTTCAATTAAATATCATACTTCCTTAAAAACACTTATAATCTCCATAATTAATTTTCCCCTTATTTCTCTTCACATATGTTTTATAAATCATTAAATATATGTTTTGTTACATTTATTTATTGACAAGCATTCCACTGAATCACGATAGCTATTTTATCAGACATTTTAATCATACATTGTTTCATATTTTCTAAAATTATTTCTGTTTCTAATATAACCATACTATCTTATGTACCTTTGCAGAATCCCTTTTTCTATTAAGTTTTCACCCATTATCTCTAAATAGGCCCTGTTTCTCTATATTTTGCTTCTGTCCTTTATAACTTCTTTTCCTTTCTTTCTTCCCTCTCATCTTCTCCCTTCCCTTTTTACCCCCTTGTCTCTCTAGTTCTAATGCTCTCTTCTGTATTTCCCTCTTCTGTTGCTTTCTGATTTTATACTTATTTTTCATTCTATTTTTTTTGGAGTTGTTTTTCCCAGTCTTAAACTTTCCATTCTCTTTCCCCCCTTTCCTTTCCCCCCCCCATCTAAGATTACTTGTTCATTAAAGATGGCTTCTTCTTTGTCGCAATCTTCTTGCTCTGCAGGCATTTCTTGTTGTTTCTCATAATTCCAAATCTCCATTTCTAAAAACTGAAATACGAAGCCAAAAGAACCTCTCCCTTCTTGTGCATCTTCTTTGTACTTTTTAAGTTCCATTTTCAGTTCTTCTATAGGTGGTGCCATTTTAAACAGTTTTCAACAACCACCCGATTGATTTTAGTCATTCAAAACAATAACCAAGAATCCAGAAATCATCAAGTAATCCAGATAGTCCCGAGTTATATCTTCTTATTTCTTTTTCGACTTTCTCTTCCTGGGGTTTTTGTTGAGATATTTCAGTTAGAATGTATCTTTTGGAAGTCTTGTTGAGATTTTGCTGTAAGTTGTTTTTTAATTCCAGGCAGTCTCCTCCCTTCCAGATCTTGCCCTTTTATTCTTTTTCTCTCCTTTCCTGTTTTCAAAAGCTTTTAATTTTCCAGAAATCTTTGTTATCCCTTTGACTTTTTATTTTCGGTATTAAATGCCTATTGATGTCAAAGTGGATTTTTTTTTCTAATTTCTTGCTTAAGTCTCTTAGCTGTCAGTATAGGAAAAGGAGAAAACCAAATCTTTTCCCTTTTCTCTCTCCTTCGCAGCTTAAAAAACTTCTTGGGGAACAATGTTATTGTTTTTAATAGTTTCAATTCCAGGGTACCTTATTTGTTGCTTTTGCTGTTTGACCCAGTCAACCAAAACTTTATTTTCTTATCTTCCTCCTGCACATTCTTTTCCGGTCAAGTTCTTCTTTGTGGTGGCCATTTCTGACCACCGCTGCAACCGCCTTCAGGAAAGGGAGTAATGGCCAGCTGTGGAGGAGAGATGCGGCTCTCCTCAACCCTGCAGGCAGTCTCACCCCTCTTCACCACCTCTACGGGGTGGCTTAGCCCCGAAACCAGCTGGCTCAGGGCGCTCCAAATATTCTCTGCTTCCTGAGTCCCAGCTGATTGGCTGGGTCTTTTTTTTTGTTGTCCTGCAAAGGAGAACGGAGCTGGGAAATAGGTTAGTGGGTTGAGGAAGGAATGGGGATTTTGCAGTATCCTTCCCTTGGAGTGGGGTGAGAATGGAGATTTTACAGTATCCTTCCCCTGCCATGACCACTAAGCCATGCCCACCAAGCCACGTCACGTCCACCAAGCCACGCTCACAGAACAGGAAGTAAATTCTTTTGAATCCCACCACTGGTATGTTCCCTGCTTGGTTTACCTCACAGACAAAATGGCAAGAGGAGGGATTATTCACAACGTTCCCAGGAAGTCTAGGTACACCATGCAGAAACCAGACTGATAATCCAAGCAATACTTTTCCAGAGAGATTCAGGTTTGTCTGAATGTATGACCCTTGCCCTTTCTAAAGTGGACTGTTCCCTGATTTGAATTTCCAACTCCCAGTATAAATGTTTTTCTAACCTTCTACAGGAATTGAGAGACTATCAAATTTTGATAGAGAAAACAGAGACTTGAACCAACATTTTCTGAAAGTTAATTGCCATCTTATACTGTTTCTACTTCTTTAATAGAATGTGTAACCTTCTAGTACTAATGGAGATTGTTGAGATGCTTTAACATATCCTTTCATCTCCATAGTAACATATTCCTTTTGTCACCTGCCTTGTTTTGGCAAATAAGATGTTCTTCAGTAATTATGATCATCAGCAAAAGATTTGCAACAAGTGCTTTTTTTATTTAGAATGCCAGTCTGAATGCCAGTCTGGCTGGGCTAATACATTACCAAATCAGACAAGCACTTTAATGATATAACAGTTAATTTTAATTATAATTGTCAGTACATAATGACTAAGGACCTTTCTTTTTAAAAAAATAGCAATGATCTTGTTCAGCTTCTTTGTGTGCCTGGATGAATATTGCATCAATCTGACTGCTGCAGATGAGGCATTTATAAGCTTGTATAAAATGGGACACATACAGGAAATTGGTTTAAGCAAAACTGTATTGATCAGACATGAGTAATGATTGCCAAGGGATGGATAAACGCCTCATACACACCTGCAGGATTAGATAAAGTCTGTTCCTTCCACTTAACCTTCAAACCTCTGTTTGGAAAATTTCTTACGGTCAGACTTCCAACCTTTAAAAGAAATGTAAAAATGGTTCATGATATATAGGAAGTTGTGGTTGTATATGAATGTTTCCAAGAAGTAATCCCAGTAAATGTTGTGTAATGTGCAATATCATTCCAGGAATACTTTTTTGTACACCCAGTTTTATATATTTCATGTTTTTGGCCTGTAATAATTGGAACCATTGTCCTATCTTTTTTTTTTTTGCTTTAAGCAATTAGCTAAGATTTTGCCAGATCTTTCACTGTTCTCCCTGTATCTCTGTCATAAACATATCAACATGAATTCTGTCTGCTATTATATGATAACACTTAATCATATTTCTTTTTCAGTATAAACCATGGGCATTTAAGTAACAGTGCCCATAAATGTTTCAGTTCATCTTTCAAATTATTTACTCTTTTATTTTTAATCTTATCTTTGTATGATGCATAAGGAATTATTTGACTTCAAATATGTTTTATATGCTTCCCACTCAAAAATTTGGGCATTTGATGTTTCTGAATTCAAATCAGAGTATTGTAAGATCACTATCAGCATTTGTTGTATGAAGTCTTTATCATTCAATAGGGAAACACTGAAAGAGCAATTTCTTGATACTTTAACCAGTTTCTGAAACACAACTTTCAAGTTAACTGCACTATGATTGGATACATGACAAACAACAATACAGATAGTCCTCAACTTACAACAGTTCATTTGGTGACTGTTTGAAATTACAATGGTATTAGGAATGTAAGTCACCTTACAGTTATTTGGGTTGGAAATATATAAACCAGGATAGACATTTTAATACTGTATCTTTAAGAGAATACTAAAACGGGTGTGGTTCCGCAAATGGCCATAAGATGGAGCCAGAAACCTGGGTTGTTTAGTCTCAGTCTCAGTGAGATAAACTGACATTGACTGACATAACCGGAAGGTTGTTAGAAGAAGCAACTGGATAGGGACCAACTGAGGAAGGAACAACCACAAGAAGAGGATTTGTCTTCAACTGCCTATACTGTTAGGAAATGTTTTTCTTGTGGGGCTAGGGGACATATAGCTAGATTCTGTAAGAAGGGAAAACGACAGAATACTGGTAATCACCAGAAGGCTAAGAAGAATGTTAGTTTAGCTATGTCTAGAAATTCAACTGTAAACCATGATTTGTGGGTTGTTGATAGTGGAGCATCGCAATGCATTACTAAAGATAGAAAAAGGTTTGTAAAGGTTTGTAAAGAAGTCTACAAGTAAGCAACATGTATCATTGGCAAATGGATGGAAGATGAAGGCTTCTGGTCAAGGTACTGCATATTGTTCTTGTGTAAATGAACATTTAACTATGTTATATGTACCTAAACTGAAATTTAATTTGCTATCAGTAAGGGCTTTAGTTAATCTTGGTTATGTAGAAACCTTTAGGGGACATAACTGTATAATAGAGAAAGAGGGTAAAAGTGTTACTGCTAATCTAGAGAATGATTTATATGTGATACATGATGACCAGTTGAAGATGGTTAACTCAGTTTATAACAATGTTAAACCACATGATGAATGTATACATTTACTGCATAGACGTCTAGGGCACATTAATTTCAAAATGCTCAAACAAACTGTTGAATTGTCAGAGGGAGTAAAATTGAAACCCTGTAGCAAGTATTTAAACTGTAATGCTTGTAGCCAAGAGAAAAGCAAGGTTACTCCAGCAAACAGACTGAATGGTTTTAAGACCAAAGAACCTCTAGAGGTTGTTTTTGCTGACATAATTGGTCCTAAGAAGCCTAGTTTGGGAGGTGCCTGCTATATTTTGATTATTATGGACCATTACTC